CCCTGTATATGGGGTCTATATCTATGTACCGTATTTTCCTGACTATAAGCCGCTACTTTTTCCCACGCTTTGAACTATGCGGCTTATAACATGATGCGGCTTCTCTGTGGATTTTTCTTCACCCACCAGGGGGCGCTTTAGTATAAAGTGAAAAAAACGAGACCGGTGAAAGCCAAATTTTAACATAAAAGAAGAAAATGCTAGTTTTTGTTTAGCACATGCAAGCAGCATGTGCGACAGAGATTTTTTTTCAAACCCATACCAATTCATCATGGAAACCACACGAAGAAGTTCATATGATGTCGCTTTTCAGTTGAATGCCATCGATCTGGCAGTAAAGGAAGGAAATAGAGCTGCTGCACGTAAGCTTGACGTGAATGAATCCATGGTTCGGCGCTGGAGACGGCAGCGGGAAGAACTCATGCAATGCCAAAAGACTAGAAAGGCTTTCAGAGGACATAAAAGCATGTGGCCTGAACTTGAAAATGTTCTTGAGCACTGGGTTAACACTCAGAGAGCAGGTGGCCGAGGTGTGTCCACCGTGCAAATCCGGCTGAAAGCCAAATCAGTAGCCTGCGAAATGAATATTGACGATTTTAACGGAGGACCATCCTGGTGTTTCAGATTCATGAGAAGAAAGAACTTGTCCATCAGGGCACGGACAACTCTCTGTCAGCAACTCCCCCGGACTAGCAGGAAAAACCTGCAAATTTCCGACAATTTGTTGAAACAAAGATCGCGGAGAATGCCATAGGACCAGACAACATTATAAATATGGATGAAGTGCCACTGACATTTGATCTGCCTCTGACCAGGACTGTGAACAAGACAGGTGCATCATCCATTATGGTGAAAACCACCGGGGCTGTCCTGGGCTGCACCGCATCTGGAAAGAAGCTTCCCCCGATGGTCATTTTTAAGCGCAAAACTATGCCGAAAGACCAACTCCCGAAGGACATTGTGGTTAAAGTCAACCAGAAAGGATGGATGCTAGAAAGTCTGATGAAGGACTGGTTAACGGAGTGCTACGGAAAGCGTCCAGGAGGATTTTTTCACCGTAAAAAGGCGCTGCTTGTTTTGGACAGTGTGAGGGCCCATGTTACCGATTCAGTGAAAGCAGTCATCAAGAGAACCAACTCAATTCCTGCTGTGATTCCTGGAGGTTCTACAAAGTTTTTGCAACCTCTGGACATCAGCATGAATCGAGCATTTAAAGCAGCACTCCGCTGTGAATGGGAGACTTGGATGACGAGTGGCGATAAATCCTTCACAAACACTGGCCGCATGTGAAGAGCATCATTTTTGATGTCTGTCAGTGGATCCTAACTGCGTGGAGCAGCATGAAGGAATCTAGCATCACCAATGGGTTCTGAAAGGCTGGACTGTTTCATGAAGAGGGCACTTCAGCTTCAGAGTCAGCTTCACTCCGGGATGATGACATCGCCACAGAAAAGGATTCTGAGGCTGTTCAACTCCGACACTGAAGAAGAGGACTTCGATGGTTTCAGTGCGCAGGAGGACGATGAAGAAAGCAATCAATAAGTTTTCTGTTTTGTTTGATAAGCACTTTTATGCTTCGGACATCGTTCGGAAACTGATCAGTTCAGTTAAACTAAATATTCAGTTCAGTAGATAACCGCGGCTTTTAGGCCGGTGCGGCTTATATAAGTACATTTCCAATTTTAAAAAAAACTTTGTGGGTGCGGCTTATATTGAGGTGCGTTCTATAGTCAGGAAAATACGGTATATGGGGACTACAACCCTGTGTATGGGGACAATAGCCCCTGTGTATGGGGACATTTAGTTTCAACCAAATTTAACATTTAAATGTTAAATTTAATATTTCAGTCAACATTAAAATGAAAAAAAAAGCAACAACAAATAAAACATTAAAGCTGCAAGCAGCGTTGGTCGGGTCCTCGGTCTGCGTTGGACCCTCATGCCCGTCTGACCTCCATTTTGACACAGTTTAAACGTGCTTTAAGGTGAAGGAGCCATTTTTCTGTCTCTGCTCAGCCTCAGACTGTCAGTGAGTCACATGACCTGCTGCACTGACCTGTGATGATGTCATCGTTCTTCATTTGAGCACTGAGAGTTTTACTCACTTTCTCTCACTTTAACTCTCCCATACAGCCACAATTTTCACCAAATGTATGTAAAAACAACATATTTTTGTGGGAAATCTTGTTAGGAAGCCCTCAGTGTCATTTTTAAAGCTGTAGGACCTTTAGTTTTTTGTGTAGATGACCAACTGACACAGCATGTCAGCACATGCCCCCATTGACACCCATACAATGTATGAGCCGAGGCTGAGGCAGCTCATCAACTTTAACGGCTCGCCATTCAAAAACCGGTTGAGAAACGCCAAATCTCTTCAGAACTTTTGTACATCAAGGCCTTCTCTGACTCCTGTGCGATTTTCAAGTTGGTACAATTTACGCTGTCAGACAAGATAATTTTTTCCCAAAAGAAGTTTTCGCTCATTTTTTTACTTTGAAAGGCAAATTGCGGACTTCCTGTTGAAGATAGGTCAGGGGTGTCAGTGTGAGATTTGTGGGTCTCATTGAGACGAACATTTTGATGTTGGTTTGATCTCTGTGCGACATTCCTACTGGGCGCTAGGGCCATTTTAGTGTGTTTTTCTGTAGCTAGGTGGCGCTAGAGAGCATTTTTGTATATTTTTTTTTTTAATTTTATCAAATTTTTCGCTGATTCCGACGTGTGTGCCAATTTTGGTGAGTTTTTGAGCATGTTTAGGGGGTCAAATTAAGGGTTTTGCGTGCGTCAATCGAATAATAAGAAGAAAGAAACGCAGCAGGAACAATAGGGGTCCTTGCCCCGCAGGGCAATTAGCCCTACTTGGCCCCGCAGGGCAAGGAGCCCTACTTGGCCCCGCAGGGCAAGGAGCCCTACTTGGCCCCGCAGGGCAAGGACCCTACTTGGCCCCGCAGGGCAAGGACCCTACTTGGCCCCGCAGGGCAAGGACCCCTACTTGCTGCAGCAAGTAGGGCTCCTTGGACCCTAAAAATTAAAATTCACCAATTAAAACTCTAAAATCTCAACAGCTGAGGCTCTGTTTTCACTTTGTGGGTTCTCGCCCTAGCTGGTCTGTGACATCATTGTCCTCAGCAGGTACGTCCAGGTAGGTCGAGCAGCTAGCACGTACAAAGGCAGATTTTTTTGTTTAGCCAAAGTTGTCATGTACGTACTGATGAGCTATGAACATGTTTTTCCACATGCAGAGGATACACTTTTTACACACAGATTCAAGAGGACACAGCAGAGCCAGCAGGGGGCGCCACCACTGCAGAAAACATCAGAAATATTTATTCTCAGTAATCACTTCAGTCTGAAAAAGAAAATAATCTGCAGACTGATTTGTTAAACAGAGATTCGCTTCAGTGCCAATAAATGTTTCATTAAAATGTCCATCTTCCATCCCAAAAGTAAAACAAAATCATCTTTTCAGTTTCATTAGTTCTTCATCAGAAGACGGTGATCTCCTCCTCCTCCCTCTGCTCGTCCTCCAGCGTCTGCACAGATCAAACAGCTGGTAAGAACCAATAAGGCACAGCATCAGACTGGTGTGGACAGGTGTGTCAGGTGTTTACCAGGAACAGCAGCGTGTGGTGGATGATGAACTCTCTGGTGAGTCTGATCAGATCCTGGTTCAGAGTCTGAAACACAGACGGAAACAGAACTACCGCCAGGTTGTGAGCTGACATCTTGTTCACCTGAGAGAACACCTGGACCCTGAGACAGGAACCACAGTAAGTGCACAGGTAAACTACAGGTGGACAGCATGTTCCTTGTGTGTGTGTGTGTGTGTGTGTGTGTGTGTGTGTGTGTGTGTGTGTGTGTGTGTGTGCGGTTGTGTTACATGTAAAAGTGTCCAAACAGAGCATTCAGTGTTGCCCGGTTGTCATCAGGAAGTTGCCGTAGTAACCGTCTGTATTCTTTAAACCTGCTGCGTTCATCTGAAATCACTGAGAGACAAGAGTCCCGTCAGACAGAATATTACTATCAGAGTATTACTGCAGTACTACGTGTACTACAGACACTGTGTACTATGCAACAGACTACCTGCTGCCTGCAGCCACTGCTGTCGATGTCCGTCGGGGATCAGACTCTCCTGTTGGCGGACATATTGTTTGAGGGCGGAGCCAGCATCCAGCACACCCTGCTCGTCTCCCTCCAGGGGAGCGGACTTTGCTGATGTCATCAGGGCCTCCACCAATCGGTTGACTTTGGTGGCGAGACCACAGCGACGGTAAACACCCTCCACCTTCAGACCTAAGAGACGAACATTAATGACTGACTGCGACATCTGAACTGAAACACACTCGGTCAACGTCTGAGTGAACTCGTTGAACTCAGGCCTCATTCGCTGAGAAAGCAAAAATGAACCAAAACAGAAAACGTGGATAACAATAAAAATATTTAAAGGCAAAGTGAAACCATTAATGAGACCATTTTAAAACTAGCAGCTAAAACAAGAAGCAGCTGAACATCCAATAAGATTAAAGTTAGAAACCTGAGTTGCCCTAAATGGTAAAACTGAGTTGCAGCTGCACAGTGAGTAAAATTCATGGACAATACAGCGTGAAGGGCTTCTGGAGGACACCTCCACACTAAACCTTAAAGGCTAAAATGGCTCTGATGCGATCTCAAACATCTGGATGGATCAAGACATCGTTAAGTGATCGCTATCTACCCTCAGACTGGTTCTGGCCTCGATCGCACAGGTGTCATAAAGGAAAACACAGTTTGTGGCCAGATGCTTGTAAATGACCCAAATAATATTGAGTTTATCACATTTAATAACTAATTCAGTTTTAAGGTGAACGCTTCAATTTTAAAAGAGACAAAACCGGAAATGCAACATAAATGAGGGAAAAGGTGTCGATTTCTGTGGCAAAAAGGTTGAAAATGGAATCGAGTTCTTTATCATTTAGCACCTGGCTGATGAAGGCACAAGGTCTGTTCATGTTGGTCTCATGTCATGTTTATTCCTAGTCGCTCTGAAATAAGTGCTTAATGGTTTAGTCGAATTTAAGAACGTTTAATGTGGTACTAGCATGTCGCTATTAGCCTGCAGTTGCCATTGCACAGATGATGAGTCTGTTGTTTGCAGTGCTGTCACTTTAGAGAGAAAACTGCAGATCAAACAGTGGATTTAAGGCAGCAGTGTAACACCTGTAGTTTATATGTACTTTTCTATTTCATGATTTAAGTTAATATTTGGGCTGCAGGTGGTTCGGTGGTTAGCACCGTCGCCTCATACCTAGAAGGTCGCTGGTTAGGGTTAAGTAACCCTAACCCTAACCTTCAGCTGGGATAGACTCCGCCCCCCACGACCCCCGTGAGGATTAAGTGGTGCATAGATGATGGATGGATGGATGTTAATAATTGATAAAAGAGTAAATAAGGGTTAGGGTTACCCTACATGTCAAGATCAGTGACGTGTGGTCGGGATTTAAATATATTTATCCAGTGATTTGTACTATAAACTAATTTTTCATTTAGCATCACCAAGTTTTTATATTTTTCAACCCTATTTCCCATTCAAATACTTGGAAGAGAAGCGCGTGGAGGCAGCAGCGAGCTGAGACGCTACCTGCTGGCTGCCGTGCTGCCGTCTGGATGTCGCCAAAAACACGGTTCAAACATTTAATATACAAACTGATGCTCCATAGTTCAGCTGATGTATACCATAATATTCAGTGTTTTTTCTGTATGTGTGTAACGTGTTCCGTGTGCTGAGCATCATAAGCAGCTGAGAAGAGGTTCCAGGTGAGGCAGGCAGTTCTCTGGCCTCATGGCAGGGGGCGCTCTGATCCCAGACATGCTTCTTGTGACTCCGTGGCTGCAGAGTCATGGTCAGGTATGACATACAGCTAGCAGGTCTGAAGGAAGGAAGACTTTTACAAAAAAGTAATGGATGTTTTTGTCCAGAGGGAGCAGCACATGGACTTCATTTAAAGGTAAAAGTCAGACCGCAACAAGGTTCTTAAAAATGAAACATGCGTTTTGTGGGCTACAGCTTGTATGTGTAAAGAATGCAGATATGAAACATAATCCGTAAGCTGCTGCCTATCAAATGGCACATATGCTCCTGTGTAGCGTGCACATATTTGCAGATCAGATTGTGATGAAGTCAGTGCCTCACCAGCCATGAACCTCACCGGTCAAGACAGTATAGTGAAGCACTGTGATGGGGGTTGTCTATGATATCCGCTAAAAGGTGTTAAAAGAAGCATTTCATGGATGTGTGTAAAGTAAAATGTTTAGATTTTCTGTGTTTTCTCAGCTCTTACGGTGCTTCACGGTGCTTCACGGTGCATGTGAGGCGTGTTGAAGGCTGCCGGGGATTGATAAGGTTCCCACAAAGCTTCAGTGACTGAGTCAGAAACTACAACACTAGTTTAGAATAATTCACCTGAAAACCTCAAACACCTGGCTGCTACAGAACAATAAGGAACAGCAGATTAAACAGGTTAGCAGCAGCGACTCATTTAGTCAGAAACACTTTGCTTATTGTTGTTTCCATAGCAACAGCCTGCCTCACAGCGGCTGGTCGTGAATGAGTTCTGCTGACCGTAGGCGGTGACGTGGGAGATGCAGCGTTCGATGGCTGCCGGCACCGAACCTCTTGACCCCACGTCGATCACTGGGTAAAGCGCCTGGTGAGCTGGGCTCTGATTGGCCGCAGGAGGATGGGGCGGAGCTGAACTCTGATTGGCCAGAGCTCTCTGCAGGTGGTTGAACCAGGACTGACAGCTGTGCTGCTCCTCAAATCGCAACGCCACGATCCTTACGAGAGAAACGACAGCAGTTAACCTGTTGGCTCAGCCAATCAGAGGCCAGCAAATATGATATCTAAATCTGGAACTGATTGATGTGTGACATCTTTTCAAACCTGTGCTCACCTGCCTGTGGTCGCCATGGTGATTATATTTTCAGATGGATTCATCTCTGGATAAAGGAATAAACTCAAAGTAATTATTAATAATAATAATAATAATAATAATAATAATAATAATAATAATAATAATAATAAAATTGATCAGATTTATAGAGCGCTTTTCTAGGCATTCAGAGATGCTTTACACTGTCAGTTGTTCATTCTTGGGGCCGACTGACAGACCTCAGACAATCCACTCACACACATTCACAACAGGCAGGTGACGTGTCAGGCCCAAGGACACGACCACCATGACACCAGGTTACAGGGCGGAATTGAACCGCCGACCACCTGAGCCACAGCCGCCCAGCCATCATCACTTTCACGCTGTAAATACAAATACAATGAAAGAAAATCTTGTCCCCACCGTCTGCCTGAGCTGCAGCGGTTACCCCATCAGTTGTCAGCTATTAGACTATCTGAGCTATTTTGATAATTTATCAGTTTTAGTAATGTTTAGATATAAACAGTCTGAACTGTCTGAAGCTTCATAAACATTAATATTTTCTGGTGCCTTTCTTCGGGACACTATGCTGAATATTTCAGGATGTCATGGATGGTTTATAGCCCAAACTTCTAATGAAGAGAATATTTTCAGATGAATTTCTCATCTTCTGTCAGGAGTGAGAACAGTTCTTTGGCTGCTTTGTGGTCATTTTGATAGCAGAGCCCAGTTTAAGTGCAGGGTGACCCTAACCCTGTACTAACCAGGAGTCCTGTCCAATACCTGAGGAGTTAGCAAGAGGCTGCGCTGCGGATTGCTGTCCCGAGTGGCCGACTGAACAGGAGGTGGTGACAGTCTCAGCTAAAGAGTTAGTGTTACAAACCGTCTGGCCCTCCAGCTCCACTTAGTGAGCCTTCCCTTCCCCTCCTTTTCTCTTCCCTCATGTGGGTGTGAGTGAGGTGTGGAATGTGTGCAGGTGTTGGCCATTGGATAATAACCTGAGTGGTCGACCAACTACACTGCACTGCTCAACGCTTGTTTCGCTTTCAGTTCGTGCTCTAACTTGTGTTGTCCTTCGTTTAGTTCGTGACCACTCTTGCCTGCTGCCTGGATCACGGTGTGAACCGGCCATATCCACCCTGATCTCCTTGGATCAGCTTGTGGAAACCTCCACCTGACCTGCACCTGTCAAAGACGCCATCCTGCCCACGCCGCCACACTAAACTCTGTTTACTTTCCCTTGACCCCTCTCCACCAGGCTTCCAGCTAAGTTTACCCCAACTCTCGTTTGGTCTCTGATAATCTAGTCCTGCCGGTCAGATTATTGTTTCTGCTCCCGTATCTCTTGCCTTGGTGGCGTTCTGTATAGTTAACCTGTTGTCACGCTGTGTGCGCATAAATTCCCAGAACCTCGCTTTCCTAGCTTGGTGATACCAAGTCTTGTTCAGCCGCTAGTAATATACATGTAGCTCAGGTAGGATTAGGTCTGCCTGATTCTGTCTGACAGCATAGTCGAGCTGTGTCTCAGTGTATCTGCTCCCCCAGTAGTCGTCTCTCTCGAGACTCCAGCCCCACTCCTACCCTAGATTGCATCACTTCTCCTTTCCTTCCCGGTTTGCCCTCCTGTAAATGCTTATATGCATTCATTGTAAATCAATGATTTTTGCCCTTAAAGTGCTGTCTGCTGTGTTCTGGCGTCTGTGCCACTCCATGACACACATGCCAGAACCCCCAGTAAGAAAATGGATGAACTGAGGCTGGAACTAGCGTCTCAAACAGCCACAAGGGGCAGCTGTGTGATGATCATCATGTTCAGTGCTGGAGTCCCTGACGTAGCCATTGAGCTAGTAGGATGCTCAACCCACCGAAGCGCTTGAACTGAGACACTGCTCACCTGACTCCTTGCGGTCCAGTGAAGACTGTTCTACCTGCTGCAGGAGTTCCCTGCTGTTGCTACAGCCATCTGCATCCCACCTCAAGCTAACACTCAGCTAGCACTCAACTGTGTGCTATCAGCTATAAACAAAAAGGAGAACGCTTACCCAGATGGTGTTTTCGTTGTTGCTTCATGCTAATTTAAAGACTGTGCTTCTAACGTTCGACCAGTACGTTAAATGTGCAACGATAGGGGACAACGGGCTGGACTGTGTTTACTCTAACATCACCAAGGGATACAGACCTCCTCTGCTCTTATTCATATAGCACAAATTCACAACATGTACCACCTCACAGCACTTAACATAACAATGTACAGACCTTACGAATTTTGAACAGAGAACCCAACAATCCAAAGTTGCCTTGGGATACCCTCTGAGCAAGAGCTTGGCAACAGTGGGAAGGAACCAAAAAAACCCTGTCTCTGTTTCTAAACCCAACAGACCTGCCACCAGAGCTGTTCAACGCTGGTCTGAAGAGGCGTCTGTACAACTGCAGGACTGTTCTGAACATACCAAGTGTTTTATGACCAGTTTGTGGAGACCTACACCACCACTGGTCTCTGCTGCATCAGGACTTGTGTTGAGAGTGTCACCATCAAGAAACACATTTGTGTCTTCCCAAACAGGAAGCCACGGTGCAACACAACCTTCAGATCAGGACACAGTGAGTGCAGCCCGACACAACTTGAAAAAAAGGTATCAAGCTAAAGCTGCATCCAAAGAGAAAACTGAGGATCATTTCTCCAACAGGGATCCAGCAGGTATGTGGCGAAGCATCCAACAGATTACCAACTACAAGAGCATCAAGAACCAACCCCATAGACAACAATGCCTCCATAGAAGAGGACCTCAATCATTTCTTTGGCCTCTATAAAATAACCAGTTCTGATGATGGAGCTGCATTCTGACCATCCATCCTAACCACACAGAAACTGGAGGTGAGGCCAGTCTTCAGCTCTGTGGATGCCAGGAAAGCTGCGGGTAGATGGGATGCCAGGCCGAGTTATCAGAGACTGTGCTCAACAACATGCAAATGTTACCCTGCCTTTTTTAAAACATCCCCCTCCCAACTCAGTGTTCCCACCTGTCTCAAGTCCACCACAATCACCCCAGTGTCCAAGCAAAGCAACATCAGCGCTTTAACTGGCTACAGCACCTCCCCGTCGTCACCACGTGTTTCAGGAGACTGGTTAAAAAACACATAAAATCCACGTGATGTGGACCAGCACCAGGATGCTTACAGCTCTTCACACTCAATGAACTCTTCAAAACCAGCAGCATCCTGAAAATGAGCCATCTCTCTCAGCAGGTGGTGCTACAGAGCCATTGAAGCTACACCTCCAGGCTGAAAAACAGCTTCTTTGCTCGAGCCACCGGAGAGCTGAACTCTGTTAAACACCCCCCTTCCTACTGGCATGAGGGCTGTTAGTCTCTTGGGTCTGAACATGACCTGTGATATTTATAAGTGCATTCACGACAGTCATTCTGCTGCAACAACTGTGAACATTATGTGAAATATTTTATGCTATTACTACACTACTTTTCTTGCTATCGTGTTTTAAAAGTTACTGTTTATTAAGTCTGAGTGTGAAATAGTGCGGATGTATGTATGACAGTATGTATGTACGTAGCTCATCGTACTGTCTGATACAAAGCTTTCCGATTCTGGTTCTCTAAATTGTGACTTCCCTTGAATGGAGATCTTTTTTGGGGGTCTTTATCTTTTTTAAACTCGTTATATTGCGTTAATTTCCTGGCTGTGAATAAAAGTTCATCTTTACTGTGAAACAAATATTCCAGAAAAGTTTGCTCTGACAGGTGGCACTCAGCAACAATGCTTCAGGTGTGAATGATTAAAGTTTGTGTTACCATGGTGACTGAGCGCGCTCAGTTCCATCTTTAGAGGCTGCTGCGAGTGCCTCTGGACCGGGTGAACACTGACTCCGTCCTCCCACAGTAACAACCAGGCGTCTGGATGACTCGAGGCTCCTCCCACTTCTACAACGCACACTTTACTGACAGCAGAGGCCCCGCCCACTTCTGCATAAGACACGCCCCCTGGGAGAATCACCTAGAAACAAGAACTCAGATGAAACCAGCTGTCTGGCACAGAAAGCTGTACTTTCTGTATCCCTGGAAGCATTCCACTAGGACCTGAAGCCAGACCTGAACCTGATTTCATTATACCTTCAGGATGTGAACCAGGTGAGTCTGCAGCGCCTCCTTGTCATCGGCGTTGCAGATCAGCTGATCGCTCAGCGTCACCATCTCAAACTGATTAGCCGGCCTGAAACACAGCAGCAGATAAAGAAACAGAGTTGCAGGAGTAAATCTCACTGTGGATCAGCTGTTCAACTGCTTACAAAAACTATTTTCGCTTCTATTTGTAAGCAGCTGCAGTGCTGAAGGGTCTCCAGCAGGGGGAGCTGGTCTTCAGTCTGGTTCACTAAAACCTGAAACTCTGAGCTGAATGACAATAATTCATTTCTGATTCATGTTTCTGCTCCGTTTCTGATTTTTAACTCCCTTGGCTCAAACTAATAGTATTACAGGTACTGTTGGTAGCATCAGCAGTATATGTAAGATAAGATAAGATAAGATATGCCTTTTTTTATCTCACAGTGGAGAAATTCACATCGTTGATAGCAGCTTTCAACAGACGTACACATATACGAGACAGGAAAAAACAAAAAATAAAAAATGTACATATAAATATAAGAAATAGTGCAAACAAGGTCAGTAGTGCAGTTTTTGTTAGTATGAGAAGTATCAGAAGAATGTATTTGTAGTATTACAATTATTAGTAATTTCACTAGTATTAATAAATCAATGTTTACCCATCTCTGAGGAACACAGACAGAACCTCTCGCAGGTCCAGAACATCGCAGGCTGCAGAGTCATTCTCAAGTGAGAACAGAAAGCGGTCGTCCTCCAGTTTACCGTGAAGCTCCTCCTCCTCACCTGTACAGGTGACACACAAAAACAAAAGAACAAACTACTCAGACCACTCTGTAAAAGTCAGTCAGTCTACCTGGCTTCATGTTGGGGCTATACCTGAGGGGGCGGAGTCAAGTCTTTGCTTGGCCGACTGGGGCAGGTGAGGTGGAACCTCTGAATACAGAAACAGATTCAGGTGAGTCAGACGTTGTAAGACTAACCATTACCTGTGTGTTACCTGTGAGTGTGTGTACCTGTGTACTCGTTGAGCCGCAGCAGCTCAGTTTGCATCGCCTGATTGGCTCTCTCAGCCAGCAAGATGGGGGAGGGACTCTGTGGGTCAGACGGACTCACCTGTGCACAGGTAAATGTCTCGGTGACAGAGCAGCAGCAGTGTGTTAATGAATATCAGGAGGAGGCATAAATCAAACCTTTGCTCCAGAGCAGATCAGAGACATCGTCTCCTCGACGTTCTTGCTGCAGACCACCTGACGCAGCCGCTGAAACACAAACATCACAACATCCACCCACTTAATCCTCACTAGGGTCATGGGGGGCGGAGCCTATCCCAACTGACTCAGGGTGAAAGCAGGTTCACCTGGACAGGTAACCAGTCTATCACAGGGCTACACTTAGAGACAGACAACCAAGCACACTCACATTCACACCTACGGACAATTGATCATCTATACATCGTTTAATCCTCACGAGGGCTGGAGTCTATCCCAGCTGAGCAACCATCTAGCTGTGAGGCGATGGTGCTAACCACCGAGACACCTGCAGCCCAAACATCACAACACTGGTTTGATTTTACAGATCAGGTGTTGCCCTGCAGAGGTCTGACAGACAGGTAGCGAGGATTCAGTCAGTCTCTACATAAACCTGAACTAAGCAGGTTAAACGTGATGTCATGAACTTAATCATTTATTCAAAAATGTTACACTGAAGGATTTGTTTGATGTACATTAAAGTTCACTAATTGTGAACTCTGAAGCACAACAGTAACATGAACGTGAACTGACCTGATCCATCATGGAGGGGGACGACGTCAGAGCGTGGACTCGTCTGTAGCGCCCCCTGCTGTATTTATCCTGGATGAACTGTGACCTCTCCGCGTCCGTCGACTCAGGATGCAGCTGCTCTGCTGGCGGCACCACCGGAGCCCACATCTGATTGGCCAAGCGGTTACCATAGGTAACAAACAGCTGGGCGCAGACACAAGGGTTAAAAGGGAATAAATTCCCTCTCACCTGGATGAGTGTGTCAGTCCCCCATACTCACCTGGATGAGTGGTTCAGTCCAGACTTTGTTGTCCATCTTCAGACTGCGTACCTTCGACAGGTTGCTGCCCAGAGCTCGATGCTGACCTTTGAACAGAAATTTTAAGCATTCTGCATTCAGACCTATTCGCACCGTGAGCATTCAACATACAAACATAGTAGCATCATCAGCATTTTGCAGTCAGGTCTATTAGCATTGCTAGCATTCGTTGTCCAAACTAACAAAAAACAGACAAACAAAGGCCTCAGGCCGTCTGGATGTGTTCAACTTGCTACCTGCACAATCCTGACAGATGACCAACAGCAGGTTGACCGACGCCCACTCAGGATTGGCTGCAGTACAATCTCCACAAACCTTGTTGTAGGGGTTTTCCCAGAGACGCAGCGCCACCTGGCTGCAGGACAGAGCGCTGCGGATGGTCGAAGACAGGCTGTCCAACCAGACGGACAAGTCCTTCGACGAATCAACAGACAGGCTACAGACAGGGGGGAAGGGTTAAAAAAAACATGAGGTAGAGAAAACAAGAAAGAGTTAGACGGTTAAAACAGTAAGTCAGACAGCTAGAAATGTGATGAGACAGAGGGGTGTTAAGACAGGTGCACACCTGAAGCTCCTGTAAGGAGTGATGAGGGTGAATGAGTGCTTCCCTGTAGATTTCACTGTGGCCAGGTTCAGGGGGACGGAGAAGGAGGCGATGCCCAGCTGGAAGCCCTCCTTGTTTGGGTAAATCCAGAGGTCATGGCCCCAGAGGGCAGCGTAGGCACGGCTCCGCGGGTCCTTGATGGTGATTGGTCCGTGCAGCTCCGGGGGGGTGGGGCTTGGCTGGCCCCGAGTTGCCAGCAGAGATGTGATCCAACCATCCTGGACCTCTAAGAGATTTTTTTTTAAAAACAACAAAAAAAAAACATGAAGTGGAGCCCAGTGGAGTCCAGTGGAGCCCAGTAGAACCCAGTAGAGTCCAGTAAAGCCCAGTAGAGTCCAGTAGAGCCCAGTAGAGTCCAGTAGAACCCAGTAGAGTCCAGTAAAGTCCAGTAAAGCCCAGTAGAGCCCAGTAGAGTCCGATAGAGTCCAGTAGAGTCCAGTAAAGTCCAGTAAAGCCCAGTAGAGCCCAGTAGAGTCCGATAG